ACGGGGACGTTGATGTCTGTGGACCACCAAACGATCAGATCAGATCTGAAGCTTCGTTGATTCGTGAAGGAATCAGGAAGCCGAAGTAATTATCTCGGCAATAGCGAGATAATCACTCTTCTCGAGATCACCGCAACGGGGCAATCTCAAGGCTAAGGACCGGGAAGTGTAGATCTGACGAGCTCCTCTTCTTTATACCGACAAACTCGATCCGATCTCCTCCTTTCTTCTGAAATTCGTGCTCCTTCAGTCTTTAGTTCAGGCTTCGCCAACGCTCGAGAATTCCAGATCTAAAAAAATAAAGGCCTTGGGGCTGTATTTATAGGCTTCGAGAGCTCTGTTTTCAGATAAGAATGGTTGATTCACTCTTATCCTTAGTTGTAACCACTTAACCATATTCTTGGGTGATGTTTTATCAGTTGGAACAAATCAAGGTGGTTAATGGTCAAAAAACGGCTCAAAACAGCCAATAACAGATTTTTGGGGCTGCGGACACCCGTGGGTGTCTCAGCCATGCTTTGGCTGAGACACCATTTGGTGTCTCGTCCAAGCTTTGGCCAAGACACCATTTGGTGTCTCGTCCAAGCTTTGGCCGAGACACAATTTGGTGTCTCGGTATGGTGTCTTGGCCAAGCATTAGCCGAGACACCACTTGGTGTCTTGGCCAAACTTTGGTCTGAACTTGGTTTCACACGTTCCATCTGTTTCCGTCGTATCTTCATCGTCCGAACTCGGAATTATGTGGTTCAAAATGCATCGGAAAGCTAACGAGGAGATCAATAAGTTCCCATGGTTGAATTATATGTGAAGTAGACAGGACACGAGGGGTGCTTCGTCTTTCGTAAGTGACGTGGAGCTCTCGGTCCATTCGTGCTTCCGTTATTTCGAAGTTCCATTGCTTCGCATGGTTTGTCGACTCACTTCATGCGCTTGCCGTCGTCAAATGAGCTTCTGTGACTCGGATAGAGACGTTCATCATCTTCTCTCTATTTCGAGCCACATGCGGGGACCTATAGGTAATTTTTGACGCCTACATAGGTATGAGCTGCCAGCTTACTGTCATGTGAGACTCACCCCATTCTGACTAGC